AAAAAAAAAAAAAAAGAAAATGATAGATCTTATAATATAAGATATATTTAGATCTAGATTTAGATCTAGATTACATCTAGATTTAACGAAATAAGGTATTTCAGTTTTTAATCCTTTCTATTGTACACCTTTTTAGAAATTTAGAAAATAAATCCAATTCCCTCATTATAAAATGTACTGATGCTTATTTATTTTCACCTTTTGTTTTATTTTCTTAAGCAAAATGTGGTCAAATGCCAGAATATTTCCTCAAGGGGTCTACTGGAGTATAAGGAAGTATAGAAAAGAAACCTCTGATAGCTTTGGCCAGAGGGATTTTTTTCCCCCCAGGCTTTCCTAGATACAGTTTTTTCAATGTATCCCTTATATACTAACCACTTATATACCTTATTGAGGCAATTCAAGTCATTTAAACCCTTCTTCTAACATAGTGGTTCTCAACCTGTGAGTTGTGATCCATAGGAACTGTATTAAAGGGCTGGGGCATTAGGAAGGTTGTATCTTAGAGAAATATATGTTTGTTGACTATTCCTTATCTGAAATGCTTGGGACCAGAAGAACTTTGAATTTTAATTGTTTTTTGGATTTTGGAATATTTGCATTGTACTTACTAGATTAGTATGTCTAATCAAAAAGTTAAAAATCCAAAATCCTCCATTAAAAATTTCCATTGAACATCATCATTAACACTCAAAGTTTTAGGTTTTGAAACATTTCACATTCAAATATTCAAATTAGGCATATTCAACCTGTAATCTGTAAAATCCCTAAACCAATGACTTTTTATCACTCATAATGTTCACTTACCTTTATTTACTAGAATTGTATTTTTATTTTTTGCAGAGCAGCAGGTTGTAATTTTTTTGTTTTGTCAAGACAAAGTTCTATTCTATGTCCTGAGCAGAGTGCCATGGTGTCATAGCTCACTGCAACCTTAGACTCAGGCTGTGGGCCTCCAAAGCCACTGGGATTACAGGCACTGGCTGTGGTGTTGGGCTGAGTTTTTCAGTTTTTTTTCATGAGTCAGGGTCTCACTCTCACTAAGACAAGCCTTGAACTCCTGACTTCAAACAATCCTCCTGCCTCAGCATCCCACAGTGCTGGGATTACAGTCATGAGCACCACACCCGGCTAGTTTGTAATTATTAACCTAGCATTTTTCCTTAAAAATTATTTCTTCCGGCTCGGCGCCTATAGCTCAACCGGCTAAGGCACCAGCCACGTACACCTAAGGTGGCAGGTTCGAATCCCCAGCTCGGACCCGCCAAACAACAATGATGGCTGCAACCAAAAACTAGCCGGGCGTTGTGGCGGGCGCCTGTGGTCCCAGCTACTTGGGAGGCAGAGGCAGGAGACTCGCTTGAGCCCAGGAGTTAGAGGTTGCTGTGAGTGTGATGCCATGGCACTCTACCCAGGGGGACAGCTTGAGGCTCTGTCTCAAAAAAAAAAAATTATTTCTTCCTTACTTTAACCTTTGCATTACCCTTGGGAGTTTTGTTGTATTCTTTTCCAATTTCTTGTGTTATATAGTTTCTTTATTCATAATTTCTTTAATATTCTAACATATGAGTGGATTTAGAGCAATACAATTTCCTCCGTATATAATTAGGTCCTCACAGGTTTCTGTGTAGCCAACTCACTGATGCTCATTTCAAAAATAAGTGCAATTTTTTTTCTTTGAGACAGTCTCACTTTATTGCCCTTAGTAGAGTGCTATGGTGTCATAGCTCACAGCAACCTTAATCTTTTGGTCACAAGCAATCCTCTTGCCTCAGCCTCTCAAGTAGATGGGACTTCAGGCACCTGCCACAATGTCCTGCTATTTTTAGAGATGGGGTCTTGCTCTGGTTTAGGCTGGTCTCCAACTCCTGAGGGCAGGCAATCCACCCACCTCAGCCTCCCAGAGTGCTAAGATTACAGGCATGAGCCACTGAGTCTGGACTAGCAAGTATAATTTTAGTTTTAATTTTACATAGATGGGTACTGAACTAGTATTCATATTTTTATAAGGGGGCTACTATAGTTTTATTTCTACCCTATTATGAATTTTATGGTGTGTCTGCTTCATCACACTTTATAATCTCGTATTTTTCTTTAGTATATAGTATTCTTATTCAAGAATGCATGTTCATCAAATTAGTCCTATATTTATTTACATTAATGTCTGTGAGGTCTTTAATTGTCGAGTAAGGTATGCACCATGATTAAAGTTTTTCCATTAATAGTAAGAATCAAGCTTGAGAAGATAATAACAGTGATGATTGCTAATAGTATTAACCAAGCATTTATTATGTGATAGGCAGAATTATAATGTCCATACAAGTTTCTGAAGTTCTGACATTATACCCATATTACCATAAATACATTTAATATGCATATAAAAGTATATAGAATAAGTAATTTGATTATCATTGAAAATGAACTGAGGTTGGGGATGTTGGTCAAAGGGAAGGATAGCTTCATCTGCAAAGTATAAATCTTTCTTATGCAAAAGTGATCCACACATTATTTCTGAAATAAACAATAAATAAATGACACATTCAAAGGAGCCATCAAAGCAACTATTTATAATAACAACCTTTAATATTTGACAAAATAGGAGTTTGGGATAGACAGGTGAATACTATAAAGCTGATAAAATAGTAACATATTTACAAAGAATATTAAGGGCTGGTTATAGTACAGCATAATCTATACCTTGTTTCCAAAAAAATGAGATAGTCATAAAGCGTTTTTCCCAAAAGTTTGACAGTATAGGCAATCCCCAAGTTATAAACATCTGACTGATGTATGACTCATACTTAGCAATCAAGGCTTTTATAGGTAACAGGTAAATGTAAATGTACCTGTTTCAACTTACAGAAAAATTCAACTTAAGAACAAACCTACAGAACCTGTCTCATTTATAACTCAAGGACTGACTGTAATTATGATATTGGTAAGATTATAGATGACCATATCCATGTGATTGTTCTTATCTACATTATTGAGGGAAAACTGCCAAAAGGAAGAGTATAAACTTTATAAAAGAAAAATAAAACAATCTTCCAAAACAAAAAGTACAGGTCCATCAGATAATAAAGGACATTTAAAAATAATAGTGACTTAACATAACCAAGGAGAGACAGATATTTACATATAAATTTAAAAGACACTGACAATACACAAGAATTTAATGAAAAAATATAACTTGCCATCAAATAGTCAGTGAAAAAAATATACAGAAAACATATAGGATTATTGAAAAAGTGGTGTTAGGCTGAGAATTGGGAGAAAAAAGATGAACTTAGACTTAATAAATAAATTAATTTTAATATGGATCAGTAATCTGTATATTACACATGAAAATGAAATGATTTTTTAAAAATTAGCAAGGTTAGCTCAAAAGTGAATTCTTCAATGTTTAAAATAAAGCCAAAATACAATGTATTTTTTTTATTGTTACCATTCACAAGTATGAATTTTCCAAAAGTAATGAAAGAATTAATGTAGATAAAAATCCCTAAATATTTTTATTCATTTTTTTCTATGATTTCTCTTCAGCCAACTATTAAGTACAAATTAAGCATTTGTGCCTTAATTAGTAGAGATTTTCACCACTGCAAATTTTCTTATGTAATGTGATGAAAACCATCCTTATCACATAATTTAAATTGATTGAGTTTCCAATTCACACAGCTTCTCACCATTATTACTTTTCTTATACTGCTGAAAGCTTGAACCTCTCCCACAAGCTTTCCCATATTGCTTACATTCATAAGGTTTCTCACTAGTTTGAATTCTCTGATGTTGAGTAAGGTGAGAACTACTACGGAAAGCCTTCCCACATTGCTTACATTCATAGGGTTTCTCACCACTGTGTATTCTCCGGTGCCGACTAAGAGCTGAGGTACTATTAAAGGACTTTCCACATTCTTTACATTCATAGGGTTTGTCACCAGTATGAATCAGCTGGTGTTGAATAAGTTTTGAGCCACTAACAAAGGCTTTCCCACATTCCTTACATTCATAGGGTTTTTGACCAGTATGAATTCTCCAATGTTGAGTAAGATCAGAACCACTATTAAAGGTCTTTCCACATTCCTTACATTCATAAGGTTTTTCACCAGTGTGCACTCTTTGATGCTGAATGAGTTTTGAACGCCTTCTAAAGGCTTTCTGACATTCCTTACACTCATAGGGTTTCTCACCAGTGTGAATTCTCTGATGCTGAGTGAGAGCTGAGCCACTATTAAAAGCCTTCCCACATTCCTTACATACATAAGGTTTCTCACCAGTGTGAATTCTCTGATGTCGAGTAAGGGCTGATCCAAAACTAAAGGCCTTTCCACATTCATTACATATATATGGCTTCTCACCAGTATGAATTCTCTGATGCCGAGTAAGGTGAGAACTACTACAGAAAGCCTTCCCACAATGCTTACATTCATAGGGTTTTTCACCAGTGTGTATTCTCTGGTGCCGATTAAGAGCTGACCCACTACTAAAGGACTTTCCACATTCCTTACATTCATAGGGTTTCTGACCAGTATGAATTCTGCAATGTTCAGTAAGGTCAGAACCACTACTAAAGGTCTTTCCACATTCCTTACATTCATAAGGTTTTTCACCAGTGTGCACTCTTTGATGCTGAATAAGCTTTGAATGACTTCTAAAAGCTTTCTCACATTCCTTACACTCATAGGGTTTCTCACCAGTGTGAATTCTCTGATGTTGAGTAAGATCTGAACCACTATTAAAAGCCTTCCCACATTCCTTACATACATAAGGTTTCTCACCAGTGTGAATTCTCTGATGTCGAGTAAGGGCCGATCCAAAACTAAAGGCCTTCCCACATTCATTACATATATATGGCTTCTCACCAGTATGAATTCTCTGATGCCGTGTAAGAGCTGAACCACTACTAAAGGCCATTCCACATGCTTTACATTCATAAGGTTTCTCACCAGTATGAATTCGCTGATGTTGAGTAAGGTTTGAACCACTGCCAAACGTTTTTCCACAGTTCTTACATTCATAAGGTTTCTCACCTGTGTGAATTCTGTGATGCCGAGTGAGGGCTGATTCAAAACTAAAGGACTTCCCACATTCCTTACACTCATAAGGCTTTTCACCACTATGTATTATCTGATGTCGAATTAGGCTTGATCCAAAACTAAAAGCTTTCCCACAATCCTTACATTCATATGGTTTCTCACCAGTATGAATTCTTTGATGGTGGGTGAGGTTTGAGCCACTACCAAAGGCCTTCCCACATTCCTTACATTCATAAGGCTTCTCACCGGTATGTATTCTTTGATGGTAAGCAAGGTTTGCACCACTACCAAAGGCCTTGCCACATTCTTTACACTCATAAGGTTTCTCACCAGTATGGATTCGCTGATGTCGAATAAGGACTGATACAAAACTAAAATCTTTCCCACATTCCTTACATTCAAGGAGTTTCTCATGAGAATGAATTCTCTGATGCTGGGTACTGAAAGTGGGCATATCTTCAGGAGTAAATATATCAGTGAAATGTCCTTTCTGAGATCCCTGTTTTCTCTCAAACTGGCTTTTACAGTTCCAATCACCTCTGAAACTTGAACATTCAATGCTGTGTTTTGTAAGTCTTTCCATTATCTCCCATCAGGATGATTCTATTCCATAAATATCCTTTTTCAGAAACAATGTCTTGTTCTTAACCTTGATTCACAGTCTGAAAGAAAATATAAAAGCAAACATTTATTTTTGTGTGTTCTGGGAGAAATTAAACTTTTATAATATATATGAAAGGCTTGAATGAAATTAATTTTCATAAAAAGTGAGTGGCTCATACAATTCTCATCAAATATGATTGGGCAATTTAAAAAATAGATAAAGAAGACAGAGAGAATGAGCAAAAGTCACAGTAGTAGGTGAAGGAGGTATATAGGAAAGTTTCTATCTAAACTCCCAATTATTCCTCTAAATGGGAGTTTAGATGAAAATCCCCTGCAGACTTGGGAGCTTAGTAAATATCCAGATGTCCTGGATCTGTCCTAATTTTTTAAGAAAATAAATCTATGGCTCGGTGCCTGTGGCTCAAGTGGCTAAGGTGCCAGCCAC